AGCGTTGTAAGTCCGCAGACATACTGCTGTGTTACTGGGGGGGGGGTAAGTATCTTGAAAACCTTACAATCTCTCGTGTTGACAATTTTGAATAGGTTAAATTTTCATATATTATCGGGATTTTGAGCAATAACTTAAGAAATATGAAACTTTTGGTATCAATAGTGATATCTCTGAATATTTCACAAAGCCAAGATTTTATTTCCATTTTTCAGCCTTTCCGCAGACGACATCTAAATGTTGAGCTGAATCAAACAAACAACAACAACGAAACAAAACCAAAAAACTAACGAAACGTTTCTTAGAATGCACAAGAAACGTAATCTATAGCAGTTAATGATATCTAAAGAATACCTGTCTATTTGTTTCTGCTAATTCCATGCTATTTTCTCCGCAATATATATGTTTTTCTTTTTTTTTTAACCAGAAGAATGATTTTTGGAGCTATTTTGGCTTACCTTGATCGTATTGTACGTAGTGTATAGGCTCTTCAGACGTTGTAGTGTATTTTCTCATCACGTTGTCATCCATCAGTGCCTTTGCCCGGAATAATGAGAAACATCCGGGGCTACAAAGAACGCACCCAATCATGTGCTCGGTAGCTTTCTGGAGCCAATGACCAATGGCATATTCGAATTTCTGGTACGATACCATGGCACCTATTCAAATTATTAACAAATTCTGGTCAAGAACAATCTAATTATATGTATCGAAACTAGTATAATTTAAAACCGATTTTGCATGATAAACGCAAAGTTACACAAGGGATATCTGCGCTAACTGTCCTTAATTGATCAACTACAGGTAACGCAGCTACAGGAATAAGGCAGCCATAGCGTACAAATGCGGAGCGTGTTTTTTTTCTTTTTTTTTTCATTTTGAGGCAACGGGACACGATCCATTTAGCCTTGAATCAACATTTCGGCACACTAACTACTAGATCACGCCCGGGACCATAAAACTTTACAAGAAATACTTACTATCAGTAATAACAACAACAAACAAATAAGAAAATTAAAACCATTTGTAATAAGATCATATTGCATTTATCAGTTAGGTATCCTCGCTGTTAACGACATTTTCGGCCATAATCCCAATAATGTCTCATGAGATTCAGCCAACTTAGGAAGTTTAGTTGAGCCTTAAATCTTCACGTTAAACCAACAATTCAAAATATCTTTATGTAATTAAAATAAAAAAGATCAACAATAAGATTTACTGAAAGTAAGTGTAAATAAAGACGTAATAGGTTATTAACAATGTAAGAAATGAACCACACAAAACAAATCCTACAGTTCTTAACAATTAGCTTATTCAGTTAATAGAAAGGCTTAACGTAAGCTGTACATTTAAAAAAAGAAATAACGTTTTACCACTGGCAGATCTTTTTATTAGCTTTGAGTCTGTCTTAATGAGTTATAGTTTCAGCAGTCGCGAGTGAAGCTAAGCTTTCTATAGTAACTGGTAAAAGGCTAGCCTCTTAATAAACCGCCAGGTGAAACGCCGATTTTAAGAGAAAATAATTTTGGATAAAGTAATTTTTCTATTAACAAGTAGCTCCAAGTTGGAAGAATCATTAAAAGAAAAACTTATCATAAAAAATTTGGCATTGTTCTTAATTTTTATAGTTGATTCCAGGTTGGGGCGTTCACTTCCATGGGGGCTTGGCATGGTTTAGTGGTTAGAACACTCGACTCACAATCACCGAACATACTAGCCCTTTCAACAGTGGTCACATTATAAGTGACGGGCAATCCCAAACATTGGTAGAGTAGCCCCAGTGTTGGCGGTGGGTGGTGTTGATTAGCTGCCTTCCTCCTAATTTATCACTTCTAAAGTAAGGACGACTAGCACAGATGGTCCTCTAGTGGATTTGCACAAAATTAATACAAAGAAGTAAACATAAAAACCTAAACACATGGCGACATTGAAGTGTTAACGTATTCTAGAGTAAATGGTAGAAGAAATATATCGATCTTGCATGTAGACTAATAATCTGATTACCTGACCCTACTGGATGAATTCGACCGCACGCAGCTCCAAGTGTCTTGTTCTTCTTCATCAGGTCAACCAGAAGCCGTACGGCTTCGGCTCGGAAGTTAATGTCTCCATCTAGCGCCAGTATGTAGGTATTTTCTGCCATCTTGTCCTTTCGTTCGACAGAAATAGGAAGCTCCATGAGCTTGTGGCCCAGGAGGTAGTACATGTACATTACCTGTAGATTTAACAATAATGATGAACCAGTTGAAGCAACAATGCGGTGAACAATGGACCAAATTTGAAATGCTAACCGACTAAATAATGAAATATTCAAATGATAATCGTTACATTTTCAATAATAGAACCTTCTGAAACTGAATAAATAAATAAAAATCTGATGAAACAATAATTTTTTCTCGGTATTTGCATTTTTATCAAAGGTACCATAACTTTTTAATTTGATATAGAAAAAGGTAATCAACTTCTAAGTTCATAATATTCGGTTATTATACAATTCCTCGCGCCCCCTAGTGGCACAGCGGTATGTCTGCGGACTTACAACGCTAGAAACCGGGTTTAGATACCCGTGGTGGGCAGAGCACAGATAGCCCATTGTGTAGCTTTGTGCTTAACTACAAACAAAACAAATTACCTGTGTGATGTTGTGTCATTTCATCGAAAAAGCAAATCATTTTTTTATTTTTATAAATTCAAAGTGAAGAACGACTTTATTAAACAATGACATCAGTGTTAATATTCGTAAAATAGAAAATCTGTTTGAAACTTCTGACAATTCTGATATAAAATTATTTGGAATTATTAATTATCGGTAACACAATCGCAGCAAAATTGAACGCTTACAGTGACTATTTTCTATATAATACAGGCTGTTATATAATTACAAAAATAGACATTCACAACTAATCTGTCCCTCAATGGCATAGCGGTATGTCTGCTGGCTTACAACACTATAGATCGAGTTTCGATACTCGTGGTGGGCAGAGCACAAATAGCCCTTTATGTAGTTTTATGCTTAACTAAAAACAAACAAACCCCAACTTATAAATACCGAAACTGTATGTGAAAGGAATTCTGAAATGCAATTATTAAACAACCCAGAGTTGATATTAAAATTTGTGAAATTTTTACTGGCATGTGCTGCCACCTTTTGGTTATATTGTATACTTTTAAAATTAAAAGCTTTTATATGATTAATTTTAAAAATCATGCGTTGTGTAACAAATGTTACTACCCCCTCTCTTAGAAGGACTTGACGCAAAAGGGCCATCCATAAATTACGTAACGCTCGCTGGGGGGGGGGGGACTTTGTTACACAAACAGTATGCCCCCCTAGCGAGCGTTACGTAATTTATGGATGGCCCTTTTGCGTCAAGTCCTTCTCCCTAGCGAGAGTTACGTAATTTATGGATGGTCCTTTGCGTCTAATAAGTGTAATAATTTGATTACACCCCTTTTTGTGAAGTTTCTGGACAGTTATTTGACCGCTGTGCGTGACCTTGGAAGGTCAGGTTCAATCAGACTTCTTCCTCCCTCCTTTACTATTTATATCTCCGTCCCATCAAACATGTTCGCCCTTTCAGCCGTGAGGGCGTTATAATGTGACAATCAATTCCACTATTCGTTGGTAAAAGAGTAGCACAAGGGTTGGCGGTGGGTGGTGATGACTAGCTTCCTTCCCTCTAGTCTTACACTGCTAAATTAGGAACGGCTAACGCAGATAGCTCCCGTGTAGCTTTGCGCGAAATTCAAAAACAAATAAACAATTACTATTTATAATAGACATTCAAAATGCTTTCGAGTTATTCATGAAATCAGGACTTTAACACTAATGCGTATACACTAAGTTGAACGTGCTGATTTTACTTCCCTTTTCGGGATCGTATTACATACTTTTGTAGGATTACTTCTCTCCCCCTCAGCACAGGCTACCGGAAGTATGAATAACGTGAAACAGAAAAGATAATCTGTAACGTAGAAGCCTAATGCTTCTTTGATTGGCCGTATCCTCTGCCGTGGACTGTAGGCTCACCCGTACAGTTTGGGTCAGCCTCTTCTTGTGACGTTTTTAACTTGTTCAGTGTTTGAACGTCTCGCGTTTAATAACAAAACTAACCTGATCCCATTTCTTCTTTTGACGTATATGTTCCCATTTTTAACTTATTCAGTGTCTCAAGTTCTTAGGTTTGATTAACAACAAAACTAACCTGATCCCATTTCTTCTTTTGACGTATATGTTCCCATTTTTAACTTATTCAGTGTCTCAAGTTCTTAGGTTTGATTAACAACAAAACTAAC